TTTTATTTTCTGTGACATTGATCGGTGCATTAATAACCACAATATCACTTTCACTTGTTTATGTTACATCCCATATCTTGTATGTGCACGTATGCAAAACAACTTCTGGGAAAGTAGTCTATTGTCATTCATTCATTCATGTGGTATGAAACATTTACATTTTTAGTTGCCAGAGGGCATACTTCACAATTTGACAACTGTTAAATTTCTTCAAATTCACGTTGGTGACCGCTTATTTTTTTTACTGCTGTATAATTTCATATTAATAAGGTCTCTCAAGTAGAAGTTTGATTTAACTAGTTAAAATTATTCTACGAGTACTTAAAAGTACTCTATAGCGATACTCTGACAAATAAATTTAGTTTGTAACAGCTGTATATAGAGCATTAATGTGGTTGGTGACGCCAATTTTTTTATAATTCGTCACACTATCAACTGTTAGGAAAATATGGCTTCCCACTCTTTAAAAAGAGTGTTTGTGTGTCTGATGATCTAGCTAATAAAAACGAAATTAAAATTGATATGTGATTCAGACATTCTACTTTGACAACTAAGCTTAGATGTAGATAAATATGTCACTGCATTGATTGACAAGTGGATTACCTGATGGCCAAATTGTTCTTATTTTTATTCTGAAATATTGAAAACATTGTTTTTGACACTTTTAGTCACACAAATAGATTTATATTACACTGGGTGTTTGTAATGCTTTAGGGTAGACAATCGTAGTGGCATTCTTAGTAACTTTCAGAGAATTTCTGAATCACAGATCCATTTTTAACTTGTTTCTCCCCTGTTGCCATAGACACAAACCGAGATCATTAACAATGTACTGTTTCTTACTTTAAAGCAATACCTGGATGAAACTGTATTTTGATATAAATGGGAATGCCATACGTGTTCAATTAAGATCAAATCTAATTTTGTAATAGAAGAAAATTTAAAGTTTGTAGGTATTTTCATAGGTATCACTGTACTAGTACTCTATATTGCAAATCACAGTAGATATTTTCGTATGGTCATGGGTTGGGCAGTAATTGAGTGTATTTTATATGTAAAAAAGATGTATACATATATCTATGTTTTGTAGTGACTTTCAGAAGTGATGTTTTGTGACCTTCGCTGTCTATTTTGGTGATAAAACTTACTTTTTTAAAGATTAGATATGCTTCACAAAATGTGTGTAGCAATAGACCATTTTCCGTCACTGCGAGAATCACGCGTTATGCGTGAAATCGAACGTAAAAACAGGACAAACAAAGGTCATAGCATCGTAGTGGCGTCAAACATCGGCCGGGATTCGATAAACGTGAAAATATATTGGGGGCATTTCCATGCTTAATAATGTGCTGTATACATTTGATGATAGACAATTTCGATTAAGTGAGGATATTCAAAAGCAATATTCCTCTGTCGAAGATCGGCCGGTCGATGTGAGCTATGAAATAAAGAAATTTGAGTTCAAAATCAAATTGTTTGATTTTTTCGGCAGACGTTCGACGCGCGTCTTTCATGCATCTCGCGAGATCTCGCAGTTGAGCGGAAAATCACCTATTAAGTAGAATACAAAATTTTCGTTACATCAGGATTTCAGAAAATAGCTAGATGCAAGATCACTGGATGATTTGGCATCTATAATACCTAAATATGACAAACTTAAAGAGAACGAGATTCAGGAAAACTTGTTTGGATTCTGTTTCAAACAGGTTTTTCTGTATTCTACATTCCGTGTCTGTGTCAGTGCCCTCTATAGGCTGCTAGGATGCTGAATGTTAGTTTGTTATGTCGGCTCCCTTGATACGACTTGCCCATTGATTACGTAACGATACATAATGGGGTAAATTGTTAAATGAACCGTCAAGGTCTACAAATTTACCAGGTACACAGGACTACTACACCTACTTGGTATCAAAGTTGTGTCAGGATACCTATGATTCCGCCTTGTCCGGCAGTGTTCATTACTAACAGACACATCAGGCATTCCTGGAAACAGATTCAGCTTGCGTACAAGTGATAATAAAATAAATGTGAATAAATTACAAATATTATCATATCATATGGGGCAGCAATCTTGAATATTGCTTGACACTAACTAACCATAGATTAAATATCGCTAAATTGATCATTTTTGTTTATTCTCACTTTTATGCCAGCTGACTGTGTTCTGGAACTCAGATTCATAATCACATCAACTGGAAGGAGTTTAACCTGCACTAGTGGCCTTTCACCCTTCACTAGTCAGGCCTGTCTAGCATGTGTTCATACATAGGACATGTAGCCATTTTGTATAGTTATGTAAAAATAGTTTATTTAATGGTTAATAATTTTATTCAATGATAAGTATCAGGGGCAGACTAATGAACAAACAGACTATCAGATAGAACTGCACTGACCTATAGGGAGTAAACTGTATTGTTGGAGTTTTTGTTTTATGTGCAATGCATTATGGGAGAGAACTTTCCATATTTGTAATGGAAAACCATTATCATACCGGATACTTGAAAACTTGTTAAATTAAATGTCAATTTTTTTGAAATTTTTGACGGCATACTTTAATCCTTTGTGACGTTTTTCTCCTTTGTTGCTAAGCAACACTTCACACTACAAAGATATAATTTCCCCTTTGCAACCCTTGCAAGGAATAGCATTTAACCCATAACAATACAAGCAGAAACATGACATATTCTTCAATTCTACCAAAACCTTAGGAAAGGTAGAATCAGAGATTTTTGAGTTACAATAATCCACACTTTAAGTTACCGTAATAATAATTTAAATTTATAATTATTGATTTTATATTGTAATAAAGCTATATCAATATTCATTGAATCTTGTTTATGTTTTATTTTATTATCACAAATTTCAAGTTGTTCATATCACATTTGACTGCATGTTTTTCCTGTATTGTCTACAGTACCTTGTAAAATGATTGTGATTGATCTATTTTTCAAGAATTCATTTTTTTATTAATGAAAATTACTATAAATAATGAGTTAATTATCATAAACATTTGATTTTTTCACAGAGCTTAAGGTAGAATGCTACTTGTGTGTGCATATTTTAGTGCATGTAGCGATGACAGTATTTCTTGTTTTAGTCTCAGTCAACAGTACATTAACTTGTTTGTTAACTTTCAAGCTGTTGTTTTTAGAAAAACTGTCAAATATTGTCATCAAAATGATATATTAACAATGGTTTCCATAGACCACAATAAAAACGTGTACCCCCCAATTACAGGATAGACGTACGTACAGCTCCTTTTGGTACTATTTATCATTTTCCCATCCTATGTCGCAGAGCATTATTTTGAGATACAGATTAATATGCTTGCCATAGGAAACAGTGTTAAAATGCCTAATAACTGACAATTTTAATTCCATTTTGGATATCAAATTTGTTCTCCATTGTAGCATGAAATAACACGCATGTCAAAATTAAAAAATTTCATTATCCAAACTTTTGAGTAGCATTCTACCTTAAATATTTTTTTTTTACTAGTAAATGTTGTCATGCAGCATACATGTGTTAATCTGCTGGAGATGAGTTTAAATTATTTATTTGCTACTCTTGCCTCAATTGTAAATTATAATTTGCCTCACCTGTCTTGCATTGTACTGTTTGTTCAGTTCTAAAAAAAAAAATCAGCTAAGATTTTGCACACAAGTTGTGTTCAAATTCAGTTCTGTTTAAGCATGTGTAATGCAATCATGCTATAACTATGTTGTAAACTTGTATGGTGCTCAATTTAAAAATAGCTACCAGCACTTTTTATTACATGTAAATCATAATTTTAATAAAATAGTTTTTATGCCTGTAAACTGGTTTCTGATCTTATTCCTATCACAATCATGATTTAAGTACGTTAGTTTATTCTATGCCCACAGTTTGGACGGTATTTGTTTGCAAAATTATGCACATCAATAAAGATCAGTTACGCAGACAAAAAAATGTTTTTGGCTGGTATTTCAGGTTATTTGTCACTTAAAATTAAGTCATAGTTAACAAAACTGGAACCAGTC